AGAGTGCTGCATTAGTCTGAAGCTATGCTGGCTGTGGCCCCCCACGATTCCTCTGAAACGCATGAGCACAGCTGAGCACAATTCTTAAAGGGATAGCAGTACCTCCTGCTGGCTGTCCCATGCCCCTTGACTCTGGAGAGAGCTTGCAACAGGGGCTCATCCAAGGTCAACCTCCAAACTCCACCTCAGACATGAAACAGAGTCTGAAAGAGCCCAGAAGCCCGGGTCCTTACAAGGTCAGAGTGACCGTTAGTGTTGACGACTGCATACACTGTAAGGTGACCACCTGACTGCACAGAGGGACTCACCAGCCACGGGCCACCCACCGACTATGGCTTCTCCTGCCTTGAATGAAGTCCTCAGGTGTGCATTCCAGTGAAGTATCCAGGACATTATGTCTAGCTCTACAATAAGCCACAGCCATAAGCAACATCAACAGCTTTTAAACACCAGACAGCTACGTAGCCAATATGTCAAGATCTGAGGAAAATGATCAGTTCACTGCCATTACCCATCCTAGAGGCACTCACTTCTGACTGGAGGACACTGGACTAGCAGGAACACATACCCTGAAACCAAAGATGTTTTACTTTGGCAAGGGGAGGGGATGCTGCTGTCACCATGATGTGATCAGCTGAAGGAGACTCGCTACCTGCAGATGCTGGAGAGACGCCTGCTTGCTTCTCAGATGCACACAGGAGAAAGTGACGATCTGAGCTAAGGCTGGGAATGCTCTATAGCTCTCCATAAAGAATCACCCAGTGGTGGGGTGGGCATCTTCACAATGAGTTGCCTGGGAATATGAGGTTCAGCGGATATCACGTGGCAAGAAAGGCTTCTGGGATTCAGACAAGCACATCTCCCAAATGACCCTAAGGACAACCCCAACACAATCTCCATGTAAATCCCCTGTCCCATGAATTCATGCCAGCCAGTGTGCCCCCTCTCCACCCACCCCTGTGGCCACTGCCCTCTGACTTCAGACCTTTGCTATCCTGAATAAAGCCTCCCGCACCTCAGTCAGAGTCTGCAGCTCCACCCCAGGTTCCAGCATCAGGCTGGGAATTCAGCAAGCCTCAGAGGCCCCCAGCCAACTCCCCGGCCTCACAAGGCCTTCCTGTTCAGAGGCAATGAGGAAGTCTCGGTGCCTACCAAAGCCAGTTCCTCCCCACAGGGCCAGTGCCTTCACCATCACCATTGGAAACTGCCCCCTCTAAATCACTGATTCAAACACTCCACACTGGCCACCCCTTCCCCCACTTCAGTTCTCTGGGGATAGTTTCTCCTAGATGTCTCACAGGCACCTCCAACCCAAAGTGACGGAAACTGAGAGGAGTCAGGAGCACTGTCATACGTTTACACAGTTTAATAGCTTGGGCAGATGGAAGCAACCTGGGGTCTTTCATCTGTGGGAATTTTGGCATTGGGAGGAGGTTGCTGATGAAGTCCTGCACAGCTCCGAAACTCAGGAATCCTTACTCCTCCTTCTCCTCCTTCTCCTCCTCCTCCTCCTCCTTCCCCCCATCACCGCCACCTCCTCCTCCTCCTCCTGCTCCTTCTCCTCCTCTTCCTCCTCCTCCTCCTCCTCCTCCTCAGGTTGGGGCATTTCTTCTACTTGAGAGTGGGTGTCATCTTCCAACTCCAAGAGCCATCTGAGCTGCTCATCCTTTTGCAGTGCCCTCTTCACGTGTTCTGGAGTGATGCACACCCTGTGGCTGTTCTCAGCCTCCTTGCCCAGCCTTCTCCAGGATGTTGGCTGTCAGGTACTCGAGAACATCAGCCGGGAAAACAGGTGTGGTTGAGCTCAGGCACTGGGCATACTGACCTTCTCGCAGGCAGCGTTCCAAGCGGCTGGCAGGAAACTGCAGCTCCGCTCTTCTGGAACGGGAAAGGCGTTGTCTCCTAGGCCTATGGAGCGTTTGTTTCCAGCCATGAGGATTGCTGTGTTTTGCCCCAATTGGCACAGCTTGATTTTCCTGCTGGCCTGAGCCTGTCAAGGTACCAGTGCTTATTGCTGCCCACTGTATCCCTATGCTGCAGCCCCTCATTGGTCAGGGGTTGCCTTTGTGACAACCTCCACTTTTTGATGTCATTGGTGTCCATTGGTCTCTGATCAGGCCTCAGCCTAGAAAAGCCTATGAGAGGAACCTGGTCACCCTAGTAATGGGAACTTCTTTTTGAGAGGGACCTGGTTGCCCTAGTAACTGGAGCTTCTTTTTGAAAGGAACCTGGTTGCCCTAGTAACTGGAACTTCTTTCTGAGAGGAACCTGGTCGCCCTAGTAACTGGAACTTCTTTTTGAGAGGAACCTGGTCGCCCTAGTAACTGGAACTTCTTTTTGAGAGGAACCTGGTCGCCCTAGTAACTGGAACTTCTTTTTGAGAGGAACCTGGTCGCCCTAGTAACTGGAACTTCTTTTTGAGAGGAACCCGGTTGCCTTAGTAGCTGGAAATTCTTTTTAAGGAAAGGCTCATATTTTATTTTAACATTTTAGCAAAAAGTTGTCTCAATGAAAGTATTGTCCCGTCTTTAGGACACCACTCCAGATTCTTTAAGTTTAGCCTTGCATTGTCTGTGAGCTAATTTACATTCCCCCTAGAAGCTGTAAGTCACTTACAGTAGTGTTCACTGCCTTGCCCCCAATTTTGCCTCCCTGTATACATTTACTTAAACATTCATGATCAATATTCCTATGTTTATTCTTTGAATTGTCTTTTGAATGGCTTATAATACCTGAAAATTTCCTCATGAGTTAACCGATTGTTTCAACGCATTTCCATATCATAGGTGTTTCAGTGTTACGATTTTACTCTGTTGGAAAATACCTTTTACCTGTTTTTAAAGGTCACAATGTTATACCCAGTGGATTCATCTGTCAGAGCTAGGCAAACTTGGTGACAGAGATGTGTACCTCATGCTCGGTTAAACCCAGCAATGTCTTTGCTTGCCTCATCTAGGTGACTCCAAAGCCCAAATAGGTCTTTGTTCATTGTGTTTTTCAAATTTTAGTTTCAACATTTAATTTTGATTTCAGTATTTTTCTCTACTAATTTTGTATTTTTTGTTGTTGTTATTGTTGTTGTTGTTGTTCATCGATATTAGGTAACTTATTTTCATTGTTGACCAAATGGTTGGGAATTCAGTTTTAGGATCCGACCATCTGGAGAGTTGTGTAAATGAGTTAATGATTCACAGAAATCCAGTCTGTTGTGTAAAAGACAACAGAAAATCTGGTTTGACAGTCTTTTTATTTGTCCATTTGTCTATTTGTGGCTCAAATCAATTAAGAATTTTATACTCTCTTAGAGGAGAACAGTATATATATATATATTTGGATCAGAGAACTTTACTGTTTCTATTTACACTTGACTCATGGTTGAAATTGTGGAACTGAAGCTCTAAGCTCTATTTCTCTGTGCCTATATGTCTATGTGCTTGTAATTCTGAAATAACTCCACCTCTGATTGTGTGATTATGTAAAGTTTTCCTGCCTCTGGATGGTATTGACGTATTGGATTATAAAGTCTCTTTTGCTTACATAAATTAAATATTCCCAAATTCCTCCTGTCTCTCCACAGGGCTCAGCAGGATGTGGTTCTCACAGCCAGTGGCCTAAGTCCCCAGCGGTCACCTGAGAACCAGGCCCACTGCACCTTAGGGAAGCCTGCCTACAGGTCTGCTGTTAGGGAAGAAAGGAGATGCAGCTGTTTATTAAGGGCGACCTTGTGCATGCACCGTGTGGAGGAGCCGTTTATAGGCATAAGTAGACTCAATCTTGGGAAAACCCACAGATGGAGAGACTCTTATTACCCCCATTTTACACATGAGGAGACCTGCTCAGAGGTAGTAATTGAAGGTCTAATATCACATGTCCAGGAAGTGGTGAACTGGGATCTGAAACCCAGGCCCTCAGCTCCCACTGTTGGAGCTGCCTGTGCAGCCTCTGACCAATCCTCTGTGAAAGGCCAGCAGGCAGCAGACTGTGGCACCCAAGGACCCAAGGAACAGGTGGAAACCTAAAATGCGGGCATTCACAGGCAAGGGGACAGATTGCTACAACGTTTGATGTGACACCTCTTTTAAACTTAGCACAGAGCAGGAAGTTTTGAAAAGGATTGCACATGCTTTAGAGGCCGTCACTTGGGACAGAATTATTTCTATACCTCTTAAAACATGTATTGAGTCACTAATAATTCTTTGGTGCTCTATGCAATATATAGTAATTATAATGAATAGGTATTTAATTTAAAAATGAAATTGTTAATTGTGTTTTAAATGAAATACATATATAATTAAGCTGATTCATTAATAATTAACAACCATTAAGAACTTCTTGAATTGCCCATCTTAGGCCAGATCATAAATTTTATGTATTATTATGATTTATTTTACCAGTGTCCTGAAGAGAGGACAGAAAGATATATTCACAGCACTAGCTACTAATCCCTGTCTCAAATCCTCTTTCATAATAAGTCAGGGCATAAAGAAATAAGAAATGAAATCCAGCAGGCCATCATTTTTTTTTTGCATTTTTCATCATGGTTTCTCCTTCACTCTCAATCTCCATGTAAAGTCCCTATCCCATGAACTTCATGCCAGCCAGTGTGCCCCCTCTCCACCCGCCCCTGTGGCCACCACCCTCTGCCTCCTGCACTTCAGTCAGAGTCTGCAGCTCCACCCCAGGCCCCAGCATCAGGCTGGGAATTCAGCAAGCCTCAGAGGCCCCCAGCCAACTCCCCGGCCTCACAAGGCCTTCCTGTTCAGAGGCAATTAGGAAGTTTCGGTGTCTTTATCCCAGCCAGTTCCTCCCCACAGGGCCCGTGCCCTCTCTGTCACCGTTGGAAACTGCCCCCTCTAAATCACTGATTCAAACACTCCACACTGGCCACCACTTCCCGCCCCCCACCCCCAACTTCAGCTCTCTGGGGATAGCTTCTCCTTGATGTCTCACAGACACCTACAACCCAAAGAGACGGAAACTGGAAGGAGTCAGAAACATACTCATGGATTTACATCCTTTAGTAGCACTTGTTGATGACAACAGCAGATATTCCTCAGCTGTGACACATTTTTGCCCTGGCTAAGCCTGTGAGGATCCCCTCAAGGCTCTGGGACCCAGTCTTCAGTCATTCTTTCCGGATTTGGGCATCTCATCAAACACAAAGCGGGTTCCATCACTCTCAGTGCGGTGGGGCTCATGGTGGTTGTCCCCTTCTCTCTCCCCATCTTGTGAAGTGTTGCGCATCCTGCCATTGTTGATGGCCTCCAAGCCTACCTGCTCCATGATGTAGTCAGCAAGGCAATCGAGCAGGGTAAGGAGGATATTTATTGTGGAGGAACTCTGGCTTTGGGCATCTTGTTCATCTTGCACAACTCGGTCCACGAAGCTCATAGGGACCCGCAGCTCATTTCTAGACCGGTCTTGAATCTGGTTGTTATTTGCAGAGGAGTTCTTACGGTTATTTTTCTCTGACATGATATTTGCTGGGTTTGGCTCTGATCAGCTCTGCTTGATTCTCCAGCTCAAGTAAGTCTCTGAGGACGCTGGTGCTGCCTATTGGATCCCTCTGCTCCAGGCCCTGATTGGTCAGGGAGCTAGCTGCCTTTGTGACATCCCTAGGCTTTGTGATTTCACTGGTGTCCACTGGTCCCTGATCAGACCTCAGCTTAGAAATGTCTGTGACACTGATCTAGTCACCCTAATGACTGAACCCTGATTTTGAGGGAACTATAACTCTTTACCTGATTTTGACATTATAAAAATAAAAGTGTGTTTCAATGGAAAACTTTGCTCTATCTTTAGGACACCACTGCAGGTTATCTGATTCTAGCCTTACATTATCTGTGAAGTCTTTTATAGCCTTTTGTTAGTTGTAGGTGGCTGATACGTGTACAGTATATTCTTTAGTAGAGGTTCAGTTGTCTTCACCTTATGAAACCAGTTTTGCCTCCATGTGCACAATCATTTAATATTACTGATGAATATTCCCATATCGACTCTTTGGTTTCCCTTTTGAAGCAGTCATAACATCTTTTTCTTGTAGCATGTGTTCATTTCGTATCTGTATGAGTGTCATGATTTTACCCTATTTGAAAAATGCATTTTATTTATTTTTTTATTTTTATTTTTTATTATTATACTTTAAGTTCTAGGGTACATGTGCACAATGTGCAGGTTTGTTACATATGTATACATGTGCCATGTTGGTGTGCTGCACCCATTAACTCGTCATTTACATTAGGTATATCTCCTAATGCTATCCCGCCCCCCTCCCCCCTCCCCACAATAGACCCCAGTGTGTGATGTTCCCCTTCCTGTGTCCAAGTGATCTCATTCTTCAATTCCCACCTATGAGTGAGAACATGCAGTGTTTGGTTTTCTGTTCTTGCGATAGTTTGCTGAGAATGATGGTTTCCAGCTGCATCCATGTGCCTACAAAGGACACGAACTCATCCTTTTTTATGGCTTCATAGTATTCCATGGTGTATATGTGCCACATTTTCTTAATCCAGTCTGTCACTGATGGACATTTGGGTTGATTCCAAGTCTTTGCTATTGTGAATAGTGCTGCAATAAACATACATGTGTATGTGTCTTTATAGCAGCATGATTTATAATCCTTTGGGTATATGCCCAGTAATGGGATGGCTGAGTCAAATGGTATTTCTAGTTCTAGATCCTTGAGGAATTGCCATACTGTTTTCCACAATGGTTGAAAAATATATTTTAATCATTTTTCAATTAATAATAAGATGCTCAATAAGTTTACCTGTCAGTGTCAGGTAAACAGTTGATAGGGAAGTGCATCTTTTTTTTTTTTTTTTTTTTTTTTTGAGACGGAGTCTCGCTCTGTTGCGTAGGCTGGAGTGCAGTGGCCAGATCTCGGCTCACTGCAAGCTCCGCCTCCTGGGTTCACGCCATTCTCCTGCCTCAGCCTCCCGAGTAGCTGGGACTACAGGCGCCCGCCACCTCGCCCGGCTAGTTTTTTTTTTTTTTGTACTTTTTAGTAGAGATGGGGTTTCACCGTGTTCGCCAGGATGGTCTCGATCTCCTGACCTTGTGATCCGCCCGTCTCGGAGAAGTGCATCTTGTGCTCAGTTTAAGCCCAGATGTATATTTCTTGTCTCTCCTAGGTGAAGCAAAAGCACTAAGAGATGTTTCTTTTCGATTATTTAATTTTCCTTTCTAGTAATTCTGTGTTTTCCCTTTGACTTTGGTTCATTTACAGCCAATAACTTTGCCATTCCATAGGGGAAAAAGTAGAAAGAACAAAAGAGTCTTAAATCCAAACAATTTCAAAATCCAACCATTAGGTTTCAAGGCCTGGGAATATTCTATGACTTAAGACTCCTCCCTTTGATCACTCTGATCCTATGACTTCACCTGGGGTCATAAATCTGCCCTCTGGCCTCTAGGTTCTGCCCTCAGTCATTGTTCCTTTATTTTGAATGGTAGCATATGTTTACAGCTGAGTAGTTTTATCAGCCTGCTTTCTCCTGTCAAATTTTGGGAGTCCTATGGCCTTCTTTCATTTCTTCCTCTATTTGTCCCTTTCCGTCTAAGCTGGCATTGTTTCTGCTGATATAACATTCTCAAAAACTTATAGGTCTTTTATGTATGTCATGGGGATTCATGTGATTAGACAAGAGGTTTCTTCAAGATCCTTCATAGACAATCCCTTGCTTATTCTGAGAAGCACACCCCATATCTCTTCAAAACACCATCTGTGTGATTGAATATTTTGATCTTTTGATCCCTTAAAGGCACTAGCAAAAGGATGTCTAGCTATGCCCTTGATTTTATCTCTGGAGGATGATTTCGTGGCAATGAATTTCCTAATTTTGGTGTCTTTTTGCAATCTGGATAGGCTGAAAATTTCTCATATCATTGAATCCTGCTTTCTTTTTGCTTAACAGTTCTTCCCTCAATTTATGTCTTTCCTCTAGCATTTTACTATAAGCAGAAATAAAAGCAGGCCATTCATTTAATCCTTTGCATGAAAATCTCCTCAGCTAAATATTCAAGTTCATTGCTTACAAGTCCTGCTTTCCACATAATTGTAGGGCACAACTCAGCTACGATTTCTGATGCTATATAACACAAAATCCCTTTTCCAATATTATGTTACTAACTTCTTTCTAAGCCTTCACCAGCAACATCTTTGACATTTTATTTCTATCAATAGTTTGTTTATGATAATTTAGGTGTTCTCTAAGACAATATAGACTTTCTCTACTGTGCTCCTCATGTCTGAGCTCTCACCAGGAACACTTTGAACATTCATATTTCTACTAATGATCTGTTCAACATAATCTAGGGTTGTTATATAATGCTCCTGAAAATTATTCCAGTCTATAGCTATTATCCAGTTGCAAAAGCACTTCCACATTTTTAGATATTTGTTATAGCAGCAACCCACTTCCAGGGACCAAAAATTGTAATAGATCCCTATGGCTGCTATAACGCTGTAAATCTGGTAGCTTTAAAATACATGCATTTAGTATCTTTCAAACCTGGAGGTCAGAAGTCCAAAATCAGTTTCACTAGGCTGAAAATAAAGTGTCAACATTGCCATGCTCCCTCTGGGGACCCTAGAGGATAGTCTGTTTCCTTGTCTTTCCCAGCTCCTAGAGCTGCATTCCTTATCTCATGGACCCCTTCCTTCCTATTTACAGCCAGCAGCATAGTATTTTTCTTCAGTAGTCACATTTTCTTCTTCTGTGTCAAATCTACCTCTGCCTCCCTCTTTTAAGAACGTGTGTGATTGCCTTTAAGTTCTATCAGATAATACAGAATAATCTCCCATCTTCCACAATCATCTCTGTGAATTCTCTTTTTCCATATAAGGCAACATTTATAAGTGCAAGGGGTTAGTATCAAAGTACCTTTGGGGACCATTATTCAGCCTACCATGGGAGTTATTCCCAGGAAACTCTGGCAGGGAAGAGAGAAATTGAGACAGAGAAGGAAAGGAAGCAAACAAAGTATTTGTTATCAAGCAGCTAATGTTACTGAAAAACTTTAGAGAACGATGTAGAAAACACATCTTCCAGGGGGCAGGTGATGCCCCACTGTTCTGGACTGTCATATTATTGAGCACAATGGACTCTGGTGACCTAATGAAAGGTCTCACACAAAGAAATAAAGGCTCTGACATTTGAAAGTCAGGCAAATATCTACTTAAATGGTATGAGCTGTTGGAGTATGGACAGGGCACTGACAACATCTTCTACACCAAGAAATGTTTGTATACCCTCCTAATAAAGCTTTTCATTTTCTTCTTACCTCATGCCTGCTGTTTCATCCTTTCATGTAGCTACCTGGCATCAGACACTGAGGAAGACGCTGGATATTCAATGCTAAGCAAAATAGCTATTATCTCATCTGTATGAAACATTCAGTCTAGTAGGAAAGACAGATGTTAAAACAAACACCCAAACAAATATGTATTTCAAACTTATTGTGCATGATCAAAAGCAGTTTATAAACTTTAGCACTATTGACATTTTGGACTGAATAATTCTTTGTTTTGTGGTGGAAAGGCTGCTCCTGGTATAAAAGGACAGCAGTACCTTGGCCCCTATCCACTAGATAGTAGCATCTTCCGGTTATGATGCCAAAAAGTAGCTAGGGGACAAAATTATTCTCAATTGATAATCACTTATTTACATTTAAAATGTTACTTTAAGATGTAGTGAGGGGATGTAATTTACATAGGGTTATGAAGGAATGTCGAAATGACATTGAACCTTAGAACTGTCACAAGAATAAGGAATGAGTCAGAGAAGTGGTAAGAAAAATAAAATTCCAGAAGGTAGCATGGACAAATCCCCAGACTGGTAAAGTATTTGGCGTGTTTTAAATGAAAGCTAGTAAGTATGCTGAACCTGAGTGCAAAAAATGAGAGTGGTTTAAGATGACCTTGTATTCATCCCCAAGCAATGAAGAATCTGGACTTATAGACGTCCTGGCACTTGGATCCATCTCTCAAATGTGAATGAACATGAACATAATTTATGTATTTTTATGAACTATTGATAAAACACAAAAAGATTCTGAGAGGGCAAGAGTGCAAAATAAATGATTGTAATACTTTATAGCAGATTATTTTCAGAAGTGCCCACAGTTATCCCATCCTCTGTATCTACTCTGAGTATTCATATTTTTAAAATGTGACTTTGCAGCTCATCCAATAAAGACATTGTGCTGACCTTCTCACCTCTTAAATCTGAGCTGGCCTTCCCACATACTTAGAAAAATAAGATGGGGAAGTGATGGTGGGATAGTAATGGGCCTGGTTCCCAAAAAACTTTGTACTCTTTCACTCTCACTTTAAACATCTACATTTATCATGTCAACAAGCATGAGCTAACTTGCTGGAGGATGAGAGACCATGTGGACTGAGTCAAGTCAGTCCAGTTGTCCCCTCTAAGGTCTGAGATAAGTGAGCCCAGCCATGATCAGTGTATTAGTCCGTTCTCATGGTGCTATAAAGAAATACCCGAGACTGGGTAATTTACACAGAAAAGAGGTTTCATTAACTTGCAGTTCTGCATAACTGGGGAGGCCTTAGGTAACTGACAATCATAGCAG